TACAAGAACTGCCTCCGCCTCCTGATCTCTCTCGATTTTCTGTAGAACTTGTCCCAGAACACTAAATGGGGGAAAAAGATTTACATACTCATTAGTCCAAGTCATAGAACACCCATCTACTGCAAAAGCATTTGGATCTGGTAAATATGATACATATCTCAGCAGCTGATTGTTTAAGCACTAATGAGAGTCATCTGGAGGAAAAGCCAAATACCACCATGCTGGCAAATTGGCAGATGATTGCTGTGTACCAAAGGAGAAGAGCTCAGCAGAAATCAAACAGTTCAGGACTACATCACTCAACATGGAAGGCAAGATGCTTGCAAGAAGGATGGTGTCCTACATAATGGAGAACAAATATGATATACATCAGTGAAGAAAGTAAGTGGGCATAGTTCCTAAGATGCCTAAAGCACATCAGTGTCTCCTCACGACTGATCAAGGAGACAAAAAAGACTGCAGGAGACCTCAAAGTTTCTGGATGAATCTGGCAAATGCTCATAGTTCCAAATAAGCTCACTGAAACAGCACTTGAGCACTACCATATACCATACCAGTGAAGATCACCACATTCTTAAAGGGTTACCTAGAAAGGATCCATTTAAGATTTAGAGTGGGAGACAACATAACATCATGACAGCAGCTGAGAAAGGCATAGTTACAGGATAAACTACATTTGCAGTCCTTTCTGTCATGGCAATGAACCTCTTGATAGAGACAGGAAGAATAAAGACCGGAGGACCAAAGACAGGTATCCAGCAGCCAGCAAGTAGAGGCTATATGAATGATTTGACCATCAACCATGACAACATACATACAGGTGAGACGGGTACCAAGAGCCAAAGAGGAAACAGCCACATGGTCCTGAATGAAATTTCAAGTCTGCAAAATTGAGCTGTTTGGTTGTAAAGAAAGGGCAGATTAACCAAAGATTCAGATTGAACTCCAGGGCAAAAATGGATACCATTGATCAATGACAACTAAATTCAAAAGCCAAGGCAAATGGTCTGATAATACACTGAAACATATCAACAGTATAAGACAGCTAGAATAGGAGGCAACAGAGATGATAGTTCACATCGACAACCAAGACAGGCTTGCTTTAGAAATTTAAGGCATGAGTCTTCCAGCACCGACTTCTACCAAGAATGATTTAGCCACTCATGCTTTATGACATCACCATAACAACTGTAGAGGGCACTGAGAAGAACATCAATGGGGGTATCACAGAGCTTTTCATCAACTGGATTTACAGCAAAACCACCAAGCTGAGTTTACCTCTCACATCAGTGGAAGAGGTAATCAAAACTGGGACAGTTCATCTCATAATGACCCTCAAGGACTCCAACAACTTGAAAGTAAGAGAAGCTGGGACCTTCTTACAGTCAGGATACAATGCAGTGTCCAAAGCAGAATAAAGACTTCACCATAAAGACATTGTGGGAACCATCTGTAAAGGAAGACAAGACCAAGGCAATGAGTCAACAACAAGACAGGTGCCAGAGATACATAAAAGAAAATTAGTCCAGTAGGAGATATGACAACAGTGGAAGAGGCAAGATATATCAAAGCAGTGTAGATGGGAAGCCAGGGAAATTGGACTAGAAAGGGAATGCAACAGAGGTTGTCAACATATGGAGTGATCATACATGCCAACTTTCCCGATTTAGGCGGGATCCTCCCGATTTTACCCTTTGATCCCGCTCTCCCGATCGGGAAAGCAAAATTGCCCTAAAGTCCCGATTTGAAAAAATTCAACCTAAAATTTCCGATTTTCCCTACCGAAATATTTTGTCAATCGGGATTTGACTATCAGACTTGTTTATTCAATGCACACAGATTAGTCTCTTTGTTTATTTAACTCATGCAGAGGTGTTAATTAGCACAGGAAATCACTTCTCGCTTGAACGCACACAGCAGTCCAGGTACAGGTAACATAGCCTGGGGCGGTTAGGGGATTAAACTTTTCAGTAAGAAGGGGTATGCATAGTGAAACACATAGATTTAGAGGTTAATTAAATATCATTTTAATAAAAACAAAAAATCAATACAGTGATATGATAAACTAACAACAAAATCGGAATTAATCCATGTTGATCGTTTTTTAAAAACGAAAGTAGAAAACAACAAAGCATAGCTGCTGATTTTATCTGCTTGTAATAAAAATATTGTAAAGTTTACCTGTTAAAATAAGATGAAAATAATTTAGATGAAACAACAAAGTCTTATACCTCAAGTACACTGAATCCCCCCCCCCCCCCCACCCATGTAATATCACAAGGGAATACCCACACAACACTGCCAAGGTTATGCAAAAGTTCATCATGATTATAACAATTTTAATTTTTGTTTGGGATAGGGGGTATCCTTGTTTTAGATAATTTATTATCTCAAGAGTAAATTTATTTCTTCAAATTGTTTTGTGTGTGTGAAATACCGGTAATTAATCATCATGATGTCTAGTTATTTATAGGAAATAAAATGTCACTTCTGTTTAAAGTACATCCACAAACAAATTTTCTTATCTCTCTCTCTCTCTCTCTCTCTCTCTCTCTCACGCGCACACACACCCTCACACACACAATGCATTGCAATTTTTCAATATTTCTTTCAATTTAATGTCTAATTAGGAAATTCTAATTGTGTAAAATGTAAATATAGAATTTTACAAATGTTTCCCAGAAACTGTACAGTAACAAAATCTCATATATTTCTAAAACTTTGCAAAAAAATTTATTGAACTGAAAGTTGTACATTTTCACATTTCTCACCAAATTATGTGTCTTTTCAAACATAATGTTGTTAAACTAAACAGATATCACTTCTTTAGTGAGAGAGGTACCTATTTAAGCAAAAGATATTTGAATTTTGGAAGGAAAAAATTTGTTTGTATTATTTATTCTTAAATTGTATTAACAAGTGATATTGATATTATAAATTTAAAAAAAAGGGGATAAACATTTTATTTTCACGACAAAATGTCGCGAATTTAAAGCTTTGAAAATTGTTGTCACGTGCAAAATCCCCCATGGGAATTTTCAAAAGTTGGCATGTATGAGTGATTTAGGAAGTACACATATTTCCAACTCTAGTTCCTACTAAGAGTGGGTATGATTACTGCCAATGCAAATGCACATATTGTCATCTAGCCAGGGCACCCTTTCCCCTGGGAAGGTATAGGTGGAGGCTCAACCTGGTCCTTAAAGCACTTGTCCAAACACTACAGATAGAGGGGAACAAGGACCATTAACACTCAGGCCAGCTGGGCTTCAATTTTGTTACAGGTGGGAAGCAAACAACTGGGACCACCAAAAAACCCAGAGTTGGCATACTGAGCATGGCCAGAGACTGGGCACTACTATTCAACCTTGAGAAAAAGATCATTTTCCAACCAATAGTAGTGACCACTCAACAATCAAACATTCTACTAATATCTGAAAGCATTAAGAAACTGATGGTGATAGAGCTGAGAGTACCATAACAGACTTGATGACAGGAGGCCCACAAATGCGAAGTATGATGATCTGGTTACCTGTCAAAGTGAGGTTTCCAAGCAGCATTATATTGGAGGATAATGGCAGCTCTATAAGTGAGTGGAAGGATAAGAAAGAAAGCAGTTAAGCCCCATGGCCATAGCAGCCAAGAGGGCATTCAACCAGGTTGTGGCTACGAAAAGACAGCAGCTGGAAGCTTGACCATCATGGAAAGACAACTGATCACCTTCTACTGTCGCACCATTCTGAGGACATTCCGAGTTAGAGGATGAAATGTTTGCAGATTAATTAACCTAGCTGATGTTTCAATGATCCATTGTCAGAAACACCACAGCTGTTTTAGAAACTGACTGATCACGCCCTTCATGTTTTTGAGAAGATATTGAAGAGTTTTAATGTATGTAGTATTCCAGTATATTTACAGTGTTCCCTTAGTGGGCCCTACCCTCGAAAGCCATGATATGAACAAACCTAAATCTGCACTACCCGAGGATGCCTGCATATTAATATATCACTTATCATGGCTCTGCTCTGAGTACCCTATCTGCGAGTTATGAACATGTGTAATGCGTTCTTCAAATGTTTTAAACACACAATTTTTAAGATTGTAGGGCAAATACTGAATATGTCCATACATTATACACAAGAGAGAAATAAGTTCCCACTGGGTTAGACATTATTTATTCATATGCTACACAATTACGGATTTTCCCAACAGGTTGCTGACACATTTTGAGAGGAACATTCATGTAATGCATGTGATATTATGCATTATTTACCTGTTGTGTACATCGGACTTATGACTAACTTGTAAATAATATGTTGGTATGCGTTAAAAAATTTTATGCATGCACATATTGCTGATTTGCATTCAGGATATGGCTAATACCACTGTACATCAGCGTGCTTGCAACTTGTTAAAAACTTATCCCTAATACAGCATATTTGCCTTATTTTTCATACTTCGGCATAAGTTGATGCTATACATTATAGTGTGAAGCTGCTTCACCCCGGCTCTGTTAGGTATATTACCAAATTTATATGTATGGACCAATTACAGTGCAGTGAGAGTTTTTAACACATCAACATCCATTTTGACACTGTACCTCAGTGATTTTTTTAAGGGTTTCACCCAAAAGACATAGAAATATAGAGTTTCAAGTTTTTTTAATTTCTTCAATTGAATTTTATTGTCAGTTCCATAAAACCCTGTATCTGTCTTGCATGAAGATGTTCTTATCAAACTGAACATGCACTATTTGGAAAATCTCGCAGTTAGGGAATGTACAAAAAGACAAAAGATGGACAACTAAATGTATCAGAGTGGCTTCCACAATAGAATTTCAACCACCCTACAAGAACTAAGTCACCCAGGAATACATTCTTCATTCCATGGTAAGAAATAGGAACTCTGGAGGTTTGGGTAATATCATACATGAAACAGACAGAAAACTTTGGTTAAGAATGATTTCAACCTTTAACTTCCAATACTTTATCTATACACACCTCTACACTGGATGGTGAGGGACTTCTTTTGCCATCTCCCTTCATCATGTCTTACATTCTGACCACCTCATCTACAATTCTGTCAAGTGGTACTTCTAGCTCACCTGGTCTGTCCATTTAGACTGCAGAATTGAAAAAACATGAATTACAAAGCATACTCTGTTCTGGTAATTGAATTTAGCAATGTGTTTATTTCACTGACATTCACTTTCAAAGTTTTTATCAAAGATTTCTAATGGTCAACTGTCTGCTCTCTCTTTTACTAAAAAACACATAATAAAACACTGTTATTCAAAGTTTCCAAACTTGCTGGAACACCTAGAATTCCAATTCCAGCATTTTTTGGGTTATCCAGAATTCATCAGAAGAGTAAATGTTCCTTTTGGCTTACTTCTTCGAACAACAGAAAATAAAATAAGATTCTGAGAATGAGACCCCCCTCCCTCCTCCCCTCCCATGCATTATTCTGGTGATTTTGATAATTCTGTTATTATAGCGAGCGCAGCGAGCGGCGCAAAGCGCCACTCATCACTGCGAGCTCTAACGACAACGCCTGGGCGAAGAGAAAATTCGGACTACTGCACATTCATTCAATAGAATTTTTTTTCCGCAGTAATTCTGGACCCACAATGCATCGCTTGTTGATCTCGCTGTTAACTTCGTTCGCGCGGTAACAACAACTAAAGATTCACAAAAAAAAAAAACCCTCATCTTAATTTAATGGATATTGCATACAGATAGTAGATTAGACGCTCTTTGTTAAAAATTTTTGCACTTTTTCAAACTTCGTTTATGAAAATGCAACTAACATACGACGTCATGTGACATCACAGTCTAGACGTCCCAAATGTCTCGTGCGGTTTGAAGAGGCGGATCTTAAAATTAATCGCCCCAACGGTCGCACCGTCAACACATTACATTTACTATACTGGCAAACTGACTTAAGTATTTATGAACACTGATTGACTTAAGATCATTAACAAATGTACATTTATATATTCATATGCAAATCACTGAGATTCAGGTGAGTATCATGTCATAAAGCATAAAGGCCTCTGCCTATGCTGTAATATACATTATATAGATTGCTATGTGGTAAAGGAATATCTGTTAATAAAATATTCACATTAAATTATTTTCATTTACAGAATTAATGGTTATGCAGCATATGTGAATTCACACATTATTTGATGTTTTGCTATTTACCTGTAGCTAAGCTTTATTGACTTTGAGAACTTTTAACGAAGTGCAATCATTATTATATTCTCCATCATGCACATGTTCTACGATATATTAATTTTTTGATATCAATTAAGAAATCCTTTTATTATCCTGATTAAGACAATGTACACCTATTTCTCTGCTATGCCCAGGTGGAGACTATAAGCCCATGAAAGCCTCCTATGTTAGATAAATGAAATGCATGTTCTTCATCTCTGATATAACAATCATTTAAAAAATTATCAGTATGTATTCTGCATAATACTGATAACCATAATAAATGGAAGGAAATCATGTCCATTTTTTTTCTTTTATTAATTTTGTTTTACAATATGAACAAAATTTCATTGTAGGCATATTTGAACCCCCTTTTAACAACAACTTTTTGTAATATGAAACTATGCAAAGTCAAAGACCAAGCAATTTTACCTCTGAAGCCAGACCTTATATTACAGATTTAGTTTTATAACAGATTAAATTCTTAAACTAAAAAAAAATTAACTTCTTTTAAATCCATATCATTTTTCTTCTGATAAAGTTCCACATCTTCAACAATGAAATACTTTAAATAGCTCTTAAATAAGCATTCCTAAAATATGCAATATAAAAGAAAAAATACCCGGTATTTATAATATTGAAGATAAATGAAACCAAAACCAATATATTTCTAAGAAATACATATTCATTGATATTCATAATGACAAAGCTCCGAGTAAGAGTGAGCATCTGTTTGTTTGAGTGAGTCTAAAACGTAAGTGTGTGAATCTCATTATGGCTGTGGTGAGAGAGGAGATGAATTTCTTGGCATGCCATGCAGTAAACTGATAGCGTCACTGGTGTAGATTTACAGACTCTGCCAGGTGAGGCACCAACAAAGGGGTCAGGTTACAATCCCTAAAAATACATATGTAATAGAATCCCCCATAAGTGCCTCAAAAATTAAACTTGCAACTTTTTGGGGGGTAAAAAATGCAGTTAAAATCTCAAATTTTTACACAATGGAATATCTTGTTACCAGGCTAGTCACTTTCACAGTTAAGTTCCCACTGCCCTGTATCAAGTCTTTCCCCCTAATTTACAAGCACACATATCCACACTCTATATCATCAGCTTTTCCCAAGTGTTGGAAGTCAGTCCCTAGCTATAGGTTGCCCCAGCTTTTCAATTAATTTAAACACTCAGGAAGTATAATGTCAAACTTCTTTTCTTTTGAGAGAAAAAAAAATGTAACTTCTTTTTTAAAAAAAACCCTGATTTGAGAAAGGCAAGGCCTGTGTTAGCTTTGCCGGGGTTACTAAGTATGAACCTGCCACAGTCTCACAAAGTGACCTGTTTTTCTTCAATGAGCATAATGGTATGTTTCATGGATTCCGATAATTAAATAGTTTTTAAAAATCATGTGCTTCAGACCCTTTACACCAAAATTGTAGATTTCTTGTTCAGATAATGTGCTACCCTTGAATGAATGACTATGTTTACCTCGGATTATAATTAGATCAAGTCCATAATTTGCTTTTCATTTTACAATACAAAATCTCTTGTCAAGATTGCATTATGGAAAATATTTTTTTTCACAGAAAAGCTTAACACGTCTATCTTTTTCAAGCACTTTTTTCCCTAACACCTATTCAAATACTGTAAAGTTGAGACTGCATACATGCTAATAGAAACATATTGGCAACAGAAAAAAATCTATGGTTTTCATTTTGCTTTCCAATATAGCAAATAGCGGTTTGGAGACAAACAATAATGAATATGTATGCTACAAATCCATCAATTTGTGATTTTTTTTAAAAGAAATAAAGTACAGTTGATTTTCAGCAAAATATACCTCTACTCCATAATTGAAAAAAAAATGAAGGGACTTGTGTCAATGTAATGAAGACATACCAGCATTGTTCTCCACATTGAAAATGGCAATTAAACATGAATCAGAGATGCCATGAGGGCTATTGATTTTGATTACCCAGAAACATGTCCAATTTGAATTTCTATCCAAGTTTGATAATGAATATTTCTTTAATTATCAAATTTTACTGAAATGTGCTATCATAATAGAGCAGTTTTCATTTTTATTTTAAGAAGAGTTCACTAAAATAAAATGGTCTCTGTTCTTTCAATGCCCATTCATTAAATGTCCCAGATTCAAATCTCATATTATATATATATACCACAGACTGTAATATAATTTAGTTAAATAAGTCCATGTAGTAGTAATTTGAATTTGAACGAAGAAATACAAAAAGTAACATGAAATCATTACATTATAAACTCTTTGGAGTAATAAGATATAGGTAAAGGATTCTTGTATTAATCATGAGTGTTCATTTGATTATTGTTGACCAAAGGAGCCTTGTGGCTCATAGGCACACAAAATATATAGCAAATGGCAGAGGATTCAAAAAGAACTACAATATAATACCAAGTTTTAAAGAAACCCCACTAAGCTTGCCATCCTCAAAAATATTGGTATATATAGTATACAGAATGCATTCATAATCAGATCTTTTACCTTAGTTTAAGATATTTTTTTTTCTCTGACTATGCTTGTGGAGACGTTTTGACAATACTGTACTTATATTTAAACTGAAAAAGAACATGCGGTGTCACACACACTATTCGTTAATGCACATGTATAAACACACCCACTTCGAATCTTTTTTCCTTCCTTCTTATCATTTCTCAAATAATAAAATACAAACTGAAAGTTATATTTCTTCACCAAAATACCGAGAAATACCAATGTTGATCTTTTTTAAACCAATCTAATTTCTTCGCGCGAAATTTACCGTGACCCAACATCAGCAACTATCGCGAGGGGCATTTAAATATGACAACAAATCGATGTAAAAACACGTGCTGGTTCCTCATAATATTAACATTGTCAACGATGGTGATTTTTTACTTTTAAGACTCTCTACTTACTGTTAAATGTCTTACTCCTTGCATGTTCCATCGATAAATTTGCAAAATAGAAAAGTTGTTGACAGATCGTAGTTCCCCGTATTCGCCATTCGGCTTAGAATCCTGGGAAAAACTATGTCAAGATGAGGCACCATAGGGGTGCGGCGTAAGTAGACGTGATACACCTTTTACCTAGAGGGAATTAAACGTTGTAAAGGCATAAACTTTTTTATTTCATTATTTTTTTTTTATTTTAAGAAAGTAAAAATTGATATTTAAAGTCTTTATGTATTTTTTAATAGGTAATATTTTCAGAGAACTGAGATATATAATTTTTTTCATTCAATTTCTTGTATATCATATGTATCAAATCTTCGCAAGCTCACCGTTTCTATAAAATCTGTACAATAAGCAACAAGATTAAGGCAACGGGTTCTGAAAATTTTTGTACAGACAAAACATTTATTTGGAGCTCAAACTTGACTGAAAGGCATTAATTATGTTCTCCTTGGCTGTGACCCAAGGTCATTAGGTCAAGGTCAAAAGGTTTGTGCATTAACTTAACTGCATTTATGCAGAAGTTGGGTGTTTCATGAATCCAAATAAAGGTCATTTGAAGGTAAAGGAAATTTGCAGCATTGAATTTTTAAGGCCACATGCATGCACTCTTGAAAGTGTGCCACCCGAAAAAGTATTATTTGGACAAATTTGTTCACATTATGATCAAGTCAGGACCACCTTCTGCCAACTCCTGTGTTACAAACATTTTGATTCACAGTAAAATAAAACAATTACTATACAAAAATGTGTCATAAACTCATTAATGAATTACTTTGACCTGATAGTAGATATATATAGCAAAATGCCAGACAATCATCCATTAAGTTTTTAATTCTAGTTGCCATGATCAATGATTCCAGACAGATATTGAATTCTGTATTTCACTGGAAACATGCAATCTCATTACCACTATGGCGAACTAGCAAGGCCAAGGATAGTACAAGATTTCCCTAATGAAGATTAGCCCCCTCCATTTACTGCAATGAAGCACTCTGAACTTTATCCAATGGCATTGACCTATACTCGTAAATTAAGTGCTCTGTGACCTTGAACTTATCAAAAGGTCTAGTCTACTGCATTTTCAAAAATAAAGAGCTGGACAATTAATCTTATGGTCGGACATTTCATGCCAACAGACTTCCAGATTTTATTATCTTAATCTGGTCTTTCGAGTTTCTTCCATATCTCAAGTTACGTTACTGGTGTTATTTTAGAATTTTAAATGCTCTCTTAAAGAGTCTCCATTCATGAAACTTTACAAGTGTAACATAAGTTTTCATACTTTGAATAAAGTTTGGATACTTAAGATTTCATTTCAGTGATGACATGTAATTTTGATGTGTAAATGCAGTTTTTCTCAAGAGGGTGAACACTTTACACTGACCTCATCAATTTTATCAAACAACCAAGTCTCAATGAAAAAAAAAAATCTCCTGAACTCCGTTATCACATATAATGATAAATATAACTATGTATGTCAAGTTTCTTCTACAATTATTTTATTAGAGATACCTGAACAAATGCAAAACTAGCAAAATTTATAATAATTAAACCAAAAAATATAGACAAAAATTTTTGATATCACAGACTGGGCTTGGACGAAGACAAAACATCACCTAGATTATTATTATGCTCTAAAGTGATAAACAATTTGTGCACAAACAGGTAAAAATCTATGATGGTTGGCTTATCATTCAAATATTGATCATCATAAGCACAGCCATCATTAATTAATTCAAAATATTTGATCCCCACAAGTTTGACTTGTAATACAATACACAATAAAATTCATGTTAAAATTAATGTCATGTATCATATAAATAATAAACCATATAATAAATAATAATGATTACTGATATGACAAGTATTTATCATACAAAATAATCCACTGCTCCTCATATTCTTTGTATAAGGCTTATTCTATTGATTCAGATGATCAAAAAAAGGTCAAACTGTACACAATTTTTGTGCGAGACAAAATTAACACATTCAAAATAAAAAAGTCAATTGTATTTAATATACTCCCAGACATGTCTTTCATATTGATGTGCATTCCTACTGAGTGTTTACATTTAAGGCAACTACTGTACAAGTACATAGGAGCTGTAAGATTTTCATTTATTTGTAGATTTACAAACTAAGGTGTAATTTTCATCAAGAGTAAACATGACTGTTTTTTACTACATTCCATTGGAAATAAAATGGCTGTAAAATTGTCCTGCCAATGGACAACATTCACTCATCATTTTGTTGTAGTTCACAAGGTTCTAAATTCTAAGCCTTTCATTCATTCTTTAACAGACAATAATGATTCTGCTTTGACCTTGACCCGCTTTTGCTGAGATTTGATTGGTTCCTCTTCTCCTTCTTCCTCTAATGGCATCATTTTGGAGAAACCCACTGGTCCCTTGAATGTTGGACTCTCCTTTCCCTTTTTCTTTAGAGCACCTGTAAGGTCATCATCGCCATCATCATCACATACACAATTATTATCAACAATGGTATTCTTTAAAAATGTCTAAAATATATTGTTTTATAGATAAAGGTAGGCAACAGAACAGAAAATTATCTTAGTTTAAACCTAATTTAATTGAAAATATCATGCAAACTATCAAACAAAGTACTTGTATAGTTGAAATTCTTTTTTCATTAATTAAGAAATAAATGCTTTCAACTACTGCATGAATCTCCTGAAGTATTTGATTTCTCAGGTGGCTTCTTGAAATTTATTGACAACACATTTATGTTTACCTTTAATTGGAGTTTCAGGTTTAGAGGGCTCCTCTGCAAATCCAACTTTTCCATGTTTCCTGAAATTTGAATCTTAATTTTAGATATGCAACATTTTTTTAATACTCTTTTTTAATGAAATTCTTACAGGATGTTTCAAAATATTTGTTACAAATTTACCATGGGTGTCAAGTGCAACATAGAATGGACATAATGAAAAGAAGTTAAAGTCTGGAAATGAACAGGTTAAATGTCACTGCACAACCTCTACTCAAGGGAATTCTACGAGAGAACCATGAGATACCAAGGATGATCAAGGGGAAATTTTTTTTTGCCAATGCTTATGTGACCTTAGATGAACCGTTTCTATTTGGTTTAATATGTTACACGTTTAGTAACACAAAGCAAGTTTTATAACAAACATACCTAATAAGAGCCCCCCCCCCCCCCCCCCCTTCTAAATTTCTAAAGTGCCAAGGAGTTTAATAAGACAAATTTGGTAGAAATTTTTGGAGCGACCCCAATAAGAATTGTACCTTTTGTCTGTTTGAGTTTGTTCAGTCTTCATTTCTTTCTTTGTAACAGTAGAGGAGGATTGTACTGTCACAGCATTAGACTCCTTCTCAGCTGACTCACTGCCATGGACTGATGCTACAATGTCAAAGCACAACATTTAATACAGGAATTTGGAGTTTCTAATTAATATAATGTATTTTTCGTATACACAGAGTTAAATTAAAAGTAGACATTAGTCCAGGACTTGTTTTCAGAAAGATATAATGGTAAAAGAGGACACAGTAAAACATAGTTACAGCAATCACACTTATAATGAATTCATGCTTACAGCAACTTAATTTCTATTCCCGTAATGTTTTACATGTATAAACTATTATAAACTTAATGGATATAACGATCGAATTATATTTATAAAGAATCAAAATTATTCGTCCCTGGTACTTTGCTATAAGCATGCTTCACTATATATTTTTCTAAAACAACTGTAACATTTACTTGCGAAGTGACAGACCAAAAATTTCTCTATCTGGTTAAGACGATTCCTTTTGATACAGTACCAGACAGATAAAAATTGACGTTTTCAGAATAGGTATTTCATATGAGAACTTTGTGGCACAAATCACTTACTTGTATCAGACATAAGGGAACTAAACGTGCTTTCGTCTGTGTTATTGAGGATGTCCTCTTTGTGTAAGGCAGCCATATAACTGGAATAAGACCAGGAAATCTTGTCCTTCGTGTCACCATGTCCCCCCTCCTCTTCATCTTCCTCAGTCCGATGCATGGCAAAGGGGTCGTGAAACGGGTCATCTTCATCCTCATCTCCAAGAGGAGGTAGGCCCTCCGCTGCCCTCCTTTCTGCCTCCTTTATAAAATCAGGAATATTTTGTTTAATAACACCAAAATTTTTTTTAAATCCATGTATAAATAAATAAAAATTATCTTAAGAGTTTGTAAATATTATTATGAATAATATTTTTCATAAATATATAGATTCTCACAGGTATTTCAGAATTCATCAACAGACGACTTTCATCACATTTACAATAGATATTTCCCATTGTGGGGTTAATGTGAGGTTAACAAGCATATAACCCATTGTTGCTTCTCTATAATATTACAAACTTTATGGGGCAGTGTCTTACAAATTAAATCTGTATATATATGTTTGTTTGTTTTCTTTGATGCCCCATACTATATCAATACAGAAACGATACAAAATTTTTCGAAAACATTTACAGGCAATTTATAAAGGATATAATGAGAAAAATGATCGTTGTTCTGACAGAGATAACTCTTAAGAATGAGAAAGTCGTCTATACTAACCAACTTTTTCCAAATGCTTACATTTCCCCACCAGTGTTATTAATTCCACACCACAAATTAATATAATTCCACACCATAACCATGTAAAGATAACCCAGATTAACACAACACATTTACAACCAGTGCCTGCTATAAATTCACCCAGTCCATACCACCTCCTATCCCCACAAACAGACTTCTGTACCAGTCCCAAAAGTTTGATGAGTCTCTGTGCCACCCTCCCCCCTGTGCGAGGGGACAATCCAGACTTAGTGTCATAATGAGCCTTCATCTCCACACTCGGGGATCATAGCCTTGTCCTATTTACTGTCGTCTTGCGTTTGTGGGTGGAGGGACTCGCAGAATGCCGCCCCCTGCTTACATTGTCAGGAAGGAGGGGCAAAATTTTGTGTGTGGTTTTCAAAGATGTAGTTGATGAGGTCAGAGAGTTTAATGCACTTCCCTATAATAACAGTGTATACACAATGAATGTGTGCAACACCATAGATCTCAAATGTTTATAAACTTTGGTTTGTGGCAGATTTCCAGGCCCAATGTAAAGACAAAGATAACAAACTTTGATACAGTTTTTTGAGAACAAGACTGCAAGTGGGCCACAGTGCAAGGCCATTCTATAGACTATCTGATGCAGGGTGGGAATGAGAAGGCATGCATTCATTGGGGCTCTGGCAGGAATTTCTATGCTGTCATAACTATAAATGCAGAACCTTTAAAATGTTAAGTTCAAGTTTAAATGCTCAAGCGCTGTCAAAGAAATGTAAACCATTAGATATAATTGCCAGACTTCTTCAAAAAGGGATTCACCAGTTTGAGAGGTACATTTGTATTTTGTAATTATGTAACATGCAGCTCTTTATAATTTAATCCATTAACTCAAAGCTTCATACAAACATGATCTATTAGTTCCCGCTCAATCTAAATATCAAACAGGATCATGACATGTAGCATAATATTTGTTATGTTTTATTGAAGCCATTCAATTTTCATAAGCCACTGCATTAAATATATATGTACTGCATAATATTTTAATATCATGCATCATTCACTTACATATTTACGACTAAATGGTGTGTACCATTTTTTGTGTGCATCATGTATAATTATTAACTGAAACAAAAATATAGGATTGCCTGGTATCAATTCAACATTTCTTACAATTATCTTCATATACCTGTATAGCTCTGAGATGGAAATCAATTAAGTCTTAATTCTTCAAAAAAAAAATTAAAAATAATGTGCGTTTGAAAGAAGTGCTATGTGCCTGACAAAGAAATCGTAATTTTAATCATTGTAAACACTCGCTAACTGTGTTGTTGGTGATAACTTTGGGATGCCATTATGTTGAAGTGCACACTAAATGTTTTAGAAATAATCCCTCAATATTGAAAATATTAAAGGTGTTGATCAATGTAAGATGAATGTAAAGAAAGAGAGATATTATTTAAAAGTTATTCATCCAATTTACCAATTTGTTTTCTTTATCCTATATTGCACAATACAAAAAACCAAAAAAAAAAATGTTACAACATATCAGGGCTGCAAGAAAAGGATTCAATAGAATACAAATTTTTCTTTTTTCATTTTCAAACTTAAAATTTTTCTTCCTCTTCTTATTTTGTAGTTAATACAATTACATTGTATTCGAAAATATTTAACAGAATTTTCTAAGCATTAATGATAATACTACTTTTGTCAATGTTTAATTCTGTCTTTTAATGGTCGGGACAACAAGCCCCCCGAGTCTTACCTTCTGAGCTTTCTCCTCCATTTCTTTCTGTCGATGTCTTTCCTTGATTTTAGCATGTCTCCTTCGTCTTTCTATGGTGGGTAAGACTTTCTCATCAGCAAGATTACTCCTAAAGTTGATGAAATCGTTCCAGTGTTGGTACAGGTATCGGAAGACAATCAGCTACAAATCAAACAATGTATATCTTTTATTATAATCCCATTCATTAAAATTATTTCCTACAGCTTATATATTATTTTCTACATTTGAAATAAATTCTTTTCCCTCTCAAACCCTATGCTTTGTGTCATTGATTTTCTTTCATTCACAGTACAAAATACTTTGGCAAATTTAACATTCTGCAGATTATACCTTATAATATTGTTTAAATATTCCGAGAAAAAGACACTTTTGATACATGGTATATCAGACACCAGGGATATGTCAAAGTGATTCATACTTTGATCAAAAAGTACCTGAGCTTCCCTAAAAATGTATGGACTCCTTTCATATTTTCGTTCTGCGATACGCTCAGCAAGGTCTGCTGGGATATCAATCTGAAGACTTGGTGGAATGGTCGACTCAATGAAACAACCGATGATGGAATTCACCTTCGCTAGGATCACTGCATCATCACAGTGAACGTGATATAGATCCTATTAAAAACAACTATCATTACTTAGCTAAAAATAAGCATTTATTTCTTGTACTATAAAAACAAACTACCATTCATTATTTACAAATACAAATCTATTTTTCATCAATTTCAACAGGGCTGAACCAATATGCAAGCTGTATTTGGTGAACTGAATTTTTCATAATTAAATCTCTGCTAATGTAATTTTTGAATACAATATTTTTTCCTTTCAGATCTTTTAAATTTTACCCTGGTTCTGTTTTGTCCTTCCAAGGACAATACTGACCTTGAAGCGCTGGACCTCCAGCCAGAAAAGAACATCGTTCTCCAGTTTGTCTTCTTTGTTGGAGATGTCCTTGACTGATACATAGCGACGGAACTGTAAGGCTGTTACCGGATTTAGCAGACATTTTCGGAAGAGAATCACATCCTTTGCAGATGACTGCCACTTCGTGTCCAACAACTGAAAAGTCAAGACTGAGTTTTTATATGATGCTCTAAATGGCAACTAATAAGTCGCCATGGTGCCTAAAAGTTTTGATTGGTGCCTAAAAATTTTCCATAAGTTGCCAAATTGGCGACCACTTCAACATTTTTAACAATTTTTCTGAAAAAGCGAAAAGAAAGAGCCAAAAGAAATTTAAAAGACGAGGAAATTATTTTTAGGAAAGGTTACGATAATTATGATATTTAAATGCACGGAATAGCAGAGCATCTTAATTTCAGCTTCGTTTAATACTAAATAAGCCACAAACCTTCATCACAGACTGAGATTTCTTCTTTTTCTGAACCAAAACATCATCCACTACATCATCCATGCCAGCCTTGGGTTTCTGACGCTCTGCAAACTCGGGTGTGGCCAGGAATAGAGGGAGCCACTTCTTCTCCAGCCTATCCCTGACATATTTCTGGGCCTCCAGGATAACAGCATTGGGTGGACGGTCCTCTAGAAGTTTACCATACCCACCACCAGCAGCCATCACCTTAACAGAACAGGAATAAAAGTTACTTTAGGAAAGTACCACTTAAGATGAATTTGTGAAAGTTTTTATATGCACATTCCAGGTTCTCACAGATTCTCTTATCTAATGATAGTGATAAATTCATAAGGAAACTTTCGCAATCTTTGTATCCTTCATAGATTCTCCCATTATATTTCATTTTCTGCTAAAGCTAAATTATTGACTCTCAAAATTATGTTCCTTTTTAGGCTGTTAAAAGACAAGGGATTAAAAGCATAAAAGAATCACCTTATCTTGGCCTTCTTTTCCTGCAGGACTGTTAGGTCCAAAGAAGTATTTCTTGTTTAGATATTTGGTTTTGATTTCTTTTGCTTTCTCATCTCTTTTCTTTTCATCAACTTGAGGCATTCGCCTGAAGTGTTCTATATCCATCCAGCATAATAAATCCATACTAGCATAATTTTCTGCTAAAAATAACTTAAAGTTTTCTACTTCTATCCTATTGTGCACCAATTTCTCCAAAGTGAAATCTCGGAACTCCTCTGGAATTTTCTCTAGAAGGGTCTCATCATACACAGGATCCTCATAACCTTCCATAGGATCTTCGGGAGTCAATACTCGCTGTAAGAAAAGATTCCAGTTATACAAACCACCATTATTCACAAAAAACACTTCAAACTTGACCATTGTCAATGTTTTCGAACTCTCAACAAATTTGTCACTGGCATTAATTTGAAGTAACCATCTGATATGAATTATTTTTGGACATATTAGACCTTATATATCTAATATACCACTAGAATAAACTTATATTGATCAATAATCTAAATAGGGTATCAATTTCAGTATCTGAATTATGAAATTGGCAGATCTCCTATTGTACATCAACACTTGGTTGTTTTAATATTTTTGTCTCAGCAAGAGTTATTCCCCTTTAAATGTCCTACCTGCTTTATAAGTCCTTTTCTCTGTAAATTTAAGACATATTTTGACCTTGTCTCCAAATGTTTCTTGACTTCTATTAATTCAACCTGAAATTTATGAAACCATTTAGTAATATTTTTCTCTTTTATTTTTTTTTTTTGAATTCTACCAACAATGAATGGACTCATTCAAAAAATAAACTATGTTTAAACAGAGATGTATACCTTTCCGTAAGTTTTCATGTCTACATTTATCATTTGACTCCAGGCAACAAACAGAACAGACAGGGAATATTCCTCCGCCTCATCAAATAGGTCCTCAAAGGGTGGCTGCAGGGTTCTATATACCTTACATCTGATCTCATGGCTACAGCCAATATTACAATCTCCTCCTATCACAATGTACCGGGAGTAGATCACCTGAAAATTAACAAATAGGAAAATATTTATTAAATTTTATCTAATTTTTAATTCAAACTTCAAATAATTCACATACAATAAAGGCATACAATTTTGATATGGCATACCTTGGCTTTCTTCTGTACAATGTATGGATCTATGACTTCAGCATAAAAGAGTGTGTGGTACTCTTGAACATCAGTCCAGAAATTTAAACAGTTCACCCACATCTAAGAACATGAAAATAAATAAGATGAATAAATTCAGGAATTAAAAAATAACTAGGTATTGAATGCTCTATATAAATAGGGAGAAAATACAATAACCACACACTTTGTTACCACTCCTCTCAATATATTTCTGGAAGAACCCTCCGGCCTGTCGTTCATGATAGAGAGCCTTCAGGAGAGCATCCATTCTTCTTCCTCCTGGGAACACTGAACTGATGGAGCTGGACACAGACTCACGATCAGACCCTGCTGAGGAGGGGCGAGATCTCACTTCTGAGTCAAGTTTCTCTGATCCAACTGGAGTCTTCACTGAGGAGGAGGGTCTGGCAGAGGAACGATGCACTGAGGCTCCAGAGGAGGTGCGACTATGGGACAAACTGAAAAGTATTTAAAATACTATCTACAAATCAAGAACTAACATTACATAAACATAATAATTAGTGAGCATCTTTTATTAAGGAATCATGTTAAAATATGCAATTTGTCTTTTTTTTTTAATATAAAATATATGAAGAAAAACTATTCATCCTAATTTTTGCTGCTGTTTAATTTCACCATTTTCATTGAAAAATCAAACCAAAATTAAAAAGAACCCAAGATCAAAGTCAAAACTTTATACAATAAATATTTTAAACTATGATATTTAAGAAGATAGATGATAAAAGCTACCTTGGAGCACTCCTGATGCGAGGTTTAGTTGACTTATCTACAGAGAACTGCGAGGACAACATCTTTTTCCTCCTTTCCTCCTGTCTAGTTTTGAAGTTTGAGGAGTGAGGACGGAGGGCTGAAGGAGCATAGACCCTCTTCATCCCAACAGGAGGGGATGTTTCTGGCAGTGCTGGGGGTCTGACTGCTGGGGGCTTAAAAAAACAAAAAGTTACAAAATCAATCTTGTAGCTGATTTCTGAATTATTATTTTAGATGAACATTAAACGAAAAAAAGGAAATAGGTAACTGCTGTTGTTGACAAATTCCATCTCAGACTAATTCTTAAGGCATATATACTGACGACTGTAAACATGCATTGATAAAATGTTATAAATCTATGTTAGAACCTTATACATCTTTTAATGTTGTTGAAAATGTTAAAGTTCAAGAACAAGAGGCCCATGGGCCACATCGCTCACCTGAGCACATTGGCTAGGCAAAAGCACAAATTAGTTCAGTGTTGAGATTACGGGGGGTGTTGAATTTTAAACCACCTGATGATGCTTCCATGTCAATATAACAAATGGCTTTGTTGTACTTGAGAAGATTTTAAAAAAAATGTCCCATATATTCCTTTGAAAAAATCTGATCCCCCATTGTGGCTTCTCCCTATCCAAGGGGTCATCATTTAAACAAACTTGAATCTACACTATCTGAGGATGCTTCCATATCAATATGACTAAACATAGCTTTTCTGTACTTGAGAAGAAATATTTTTCTATATGTTCTTATGTAAAACTTTTGATCCCCCTTTAGGCCCCACCCTACCCCCCGGAGGTCATCATTTGAACAAAATTGAATTTACACTTTCTGAGGATGCTTCCATATCAAAATGACTAAACATAATTTTCAGTTCTTCAGAAGAAGGTATTTTCCTATATGTTCCAATGTAAAAGGACTATATTCGGTAATGACCAATATTTGCCCCCCAAAATCAAACTTTGACAGAGAAATCTGTATTTATGTTATAAAACAGGAGGATATCTGCAGACTTCAAAGCACTGAATATTTTCATAAGCCTTGATGCCATATGTTAGATATGACGTCAGGAAAATGACGTAAATTCAAAATTTTCATGATATACACAGAAAAGGTGTATATTACATCGATATTTTGAGTAAAAGTCACTGAGCGCAGGCCTGCTCCAACTCAATATTTTAATATAATGTGTAGAATGATAATATCAATGAAATATGTAAATATTGTTCTGGAGCAGGCCTGCGCTCTATAAATTTTATAGTAAAAATTGAACAAATTTTGTCCATTTTTTCCCTCTTTCTGAAAAATAACATTAAATCCGAATAGTTTGTGACGTCATAGAAACAAAAATTGCCAATAACCTACTTTGAAACTATAATATTTTTTGTTCATTTAGATTTCTCATACAATATATAAAATTCAGCACATTTCAAAAATTTCTCAAAATACGACTTTTGGAGGGGGCAAAAATATGCATATACCGCATATAGTTCTTATCGATCCACCATTTTGGCCCCACCCTATCCCCAAGGGTCATCATTTTAACAAACTTGAATCTACACTACCTGAGGATGCTTCCATATCAAAATGACTAAATGACTAATCATGGCTTTGCAGTTCTTCAGAAGAAGATATTTTCCTATATATTTCTATTTAAGACTTTGATCCTCCATTGTGGCCCTGCCCTACCCCCGGGGGTCATGATTTGAACAAAATAGAATCTACACTACCTGAGAATGCTTCCACATAAATATGATCAATCAGGGCTTTACTGTTCCTGAGAAGAAGATTTTTAAGATTTTTCCTATATATTTCTATGTAAAACTGATCCTCCATTGTGGCCCCAACCCTACCCCCAGGGGTCATGATTTGAATAAATTTGAATCTACACTACCTGAAGATGCTTCCCTATTAATATGACCATTTATGGATTTGTTGTTCCTGAGAAGAAGATTTTTAAAGATTTTTCCTATATATTTCTATGCAAAACTTTGATAGTCCATTGTGGACCCGCCGTACCCCCAGGGGTCATGAATTGAACAAACTTGAATCTACACTACCTGAGGGTACTTCCATATAAATATGACTCATCATGGCTTTACTGTTCTTAAGAAGAAGATTTTTAAAGATTTTCCTATATATTTCTATGTAAAACTTTGATCCTCCATTGTGGCCCCGCCCTACCCCCGGGGGTCATGATTTGAACAAACTTGAATCTACACTACCTGAAGATGCTTCCATATAAATATAACTCATCATGGCTTTGTGGTTCTTGAGAAGAAGATTTTTAAAGGTTTTTTCCTATATATTTCTATGTAAAACTTTGATCCTCCATTGTGGCCCTGCCCTACCCCACGGGGTCATGATCTGAACAAACTTGAATCTAGACTACCTGAGGATGCTTCCACATGACTTTCATCTTTCCTGGCCCTGTGGTTCTTGAGAAGAAGATTTTTAAAAGATGCTATTAATTTTTCACTAATTCTTTATTATCTCCCCTTGAAAAAGGGCATGACCCTTCATTGATTCACTTGAATCCCCTTCACCCAAGGATGCTTTGTGGCAAGTTTGGTTGAAATTGGCCCAGTGGTTCTGGAGAAGAAGTCGAAAATGTGAAAAGTTTAGACACACGGACAGACAGACGGACTACAGACAAAATGTGATCAGAAAAGCTCACTTGAGTTTTCAGCCCAGGTGAGCTAAAAAGTTAATGATAACAGATGACAGATAGGGGATGAACAAATTTTAAATCAGAAAAGTTTAGTCAGAGGCTCTGGTGAGCTAAATAAATTTTCAAAAAATTAAAGATCTCTTATCTTTATTCTTAAATTTTAAGCAATGTATAGTTTTTTTTAGAGACACACAATACATACATGTAAGTTGACTGACTGCTGTATCCGGGGCATACATGACTTTGGTCGGAGGGGCAGTAGTGTGGCAGTGTGAGGGCTAGGGTTTACACTGGTGTCTTGAGCTTTCACTTGCTTCAGGTTCTGGTAGAGGTAGTTTTCTTCTGGTTTCTTGTACTGCACTTGTTTTAATAAAAATCTTGGAGCCCTGAAATATTTTAAAAAACTTTAATACTAATCAAGTATTTATCAACATGATATCTTGCAACATGTGCACTTCAAGAGTGAAGCAATCTTCTTACTCAATATGATTTTAAAAAATTTTCTGATTTACAGTCAAACCTCCTAATCCAGATGCTTTACCTTCCATTCGAAATTTTTGGGAGACAGAATTTACAATTATACCTACCAATGATAATTAGTACATTTCAATAATTCACACATCTCATTATTCCGTTTACAGTTGAACTTAGGTATCTCAAACACTGATACCATCTCGAATACCATGGATATGTCGAAATGATTTGAAAGTCCCAACCACTTATTTTTAAAGTATTTTATACCCTCGATATCTCGAATCCTCGGATATCTCGAAGTTTTTTTCTCAGTCCCATCGAGTTTGAGATAACAAGGTTTGACTGTATTTTACAAGGGACACAAGAGTCTGGATTATCAAGGTTTGACTGTAGATCAAGTGAGGATAAACACATACCAGTATAAGACAAGGGGCTCTGCTATTTTGTTTTGTATCTTGCCAAGCTTTTCCAAAGTCCATGAAGATGGCTCAACAAGTCCTAGTTCTTGCTTCTGTTCAAAGGAAAGTTCATATGGGGCACCTTGCTTATGATATTGCTCTCGTATATAGGACAGGAACCTGTTAAAATCAGACACCAGTTTTATTACTTTGCCTACTCTTCTTTACATTTTCTATGCAGGGTTTCATATGATCATTAATATATACATGAAAATAATCCTATTTTACAGCTATGTTCATGTATTAAAGATAGAAATACAATTCTTTTACAATGAAACTCTATTAGGGAAGGGACAATCAATTTAAAATATAAATTCACAACCCCATTATCCGGTTACATATTTCAAATAATCAATATTCATATACAAGTGACAATTCCATCTAGAACTAAAATGATCAAAAAATCATTTATTAAAAATCTATCAATATAGTCTAATTACCAGCTCTTGATTACAACTTCACATTAATGGACAACATTACGATGGAGAATAGCAAATGTCACACTGTATGATAAATTGTGTTGGCTTTAGCTTTGAAATAATAACAGGATCTTTCATTTTAAATCCTCATTTTCTAATTTCTACGTAACTGTCTTCCGCGCTTGTAAAGAATGTCATACTCTAAGTAAACACACACTTAAAGTTTTAAGTATGGCCTTTTGATGTGTTCGGAACGGTGCGTATTGTATAAACGTTTAAAGGTCTAAATTTTAAATTGACAAAAGTAAGTTATGACAGAGCACCAGTTACTAAGGACTCTTACAACTTAAACCTTAGAAAAAGTAAATGTTGAATATAAATTTTTAAGAGGAATATGAATTTTATTTTGACCCAAAAAGCATACCAGGTAACTCCTTAAAAAGAACTTTCAAAACATGCACATTTTGTTATATTTGGGTTGGGACTGAAGCCTGGGGCCCACTGTTGCCCATGAAGTAAACTTGAGTATCATATTTATGTAGAAATGAGTGTGTAGTTTAGTGTATCTGGGACTGCCAGTTGTGTTTTTCCTGAAATTATATCAGTTTTGAAAGCTGAATATCAAATCCAACATCAAAGGTAAAATATAACATCCTGTTAGCCTTTGCTATTTTATTAATGTTACTATTAAAGAAAATTACTACATTCCACCCCCCAAAAAATTTGTGAAAAATCTTGTCCTGAAATCCCTATAATTTCTGTTACGAACCCCCAACCCAGAGAATACCTTGTTCTAGACAGTTGTCATGATAAATCACTTTTGTGTAAAATCAATAGGTACCTTTATTTATCAAACGGATGAACATGGACAGAGGGGGCTTTTAGCAAGATCAATAGTTAAAAACAACTGTTTTTGAATATCAGGAAGGGACACTGATTCCATCAGTTCAACTGCCTTGAGTTCTTCATTTTACATGGAAATTAAAGTCCTTACATCACCAACTCCAATTTCATATGTCCTTTACAAACCCTTTTTACACACAAAACATGCTAAACCAGAAATTATAAACCAATTTAAGTCAGAGTCTACATGTATTTTTCCTTTACAGATATTGAAGCCAAGATAACAAATTCATGCACTGAATCAACCCCATTATTATACTAAATTTGTATAAACGGAACAATTCCTATCTTAATTGAACCATATTAGTATCAGATACCAGGCCCCAGGATCAGTCTTAATGGACTTAGTCAAAATTTCAGTCATTTATAAAATGAATATTTTATGTAAACTGACCCTTGAAAATGAATATTTAACATGAAATGGAAGCAATTTTATATAACATTTCAAACTTTATGTGTTTCTATTAATAAAACTTTGAGACAATGTACAAATTTTGACTTAAGTCTAAGACTACTTCATGATCCTTTGCACCAGGATAATAAGCCATTAAACTAAGTAAAACTATGTAGACTTACTGCTGTGTCTGTACATATTTGACATGAGGATCTATTTTATCCTGTTTGTTCATCCACACCAGTCTATCTATATCAATCCACAGTCGCCAGTTCTTCTCTCCAGCAGTGCCCTCTAGGAATACCTTGAACTGCTCTATCCCCTTCCTGTTGTTGAGGGAGTAGGTCTTGTGTCTGTGTTTTCTGAAGAATGTGTCACCCTCCTCATAATCCTCCTCACTATCCAGCAGTGAATCATTATCACTCTCTTCTTCCTTCTCCTTCTCTAGTTCTTCTTCATCCTCTTGCACCTCTTCTTCTTCAGGCTCTTCCTCCTTTTCATCAAGAGTGACTCTATCCAGCATGTCCACTGTCAGATTTTTGTGTGGTGTTGCAGGAAGTCTCTTTGCTACTTCTGGGTCTTGCATCACTTCCTTTTCTTCTCTGTCACTGAGCTGAGCAATAGATTTGGTTAGAACTGCTCTTACAACAGCTGCTCCTATGTCATCAATGTTTCTGAACACTATGCTTTGTTGGCCATCTTCTGGTGGAGAAGAAGACGGTTCTTGTTGAGGTACTGTGGGTTCTTCATCTAAGAAATCATCCTGTCTGTCTTTTGAAGAAGTTGAATCACTATCTGTTGCTTCAAAACCTGATTCATCATCAACTTCTATGGGATCAATTTTGGGACTTGTATAAACAGTAGAACTAAAAGGTCTTATTTGTTGTTTAGAATGATCTTCTGTTACACTAAACACTGATTCTGAAGGTTTATGTATCATAGGTTTTCCATCCACAGCAAACAGCTTACTAGAATACACATCATCTAGATTATCTATGGAAGTTTTGGAATGATGGCCACTGTAGACAGAGCTCCTCACAGATGTCCCCACCCCACTCTCTGAACGATGATAGCCCTCCAATGCACTGTAGGCACTGATTGGTCTAGCACTGTTGGGCCTCCTCACAATCTCAGCGCTCTTGGGTCTGGCCAGAGTAGAGAAGGTCATATCTGAGTTTTGTGTAATCTGAGCACTAGTGAACCAAGCCTCTGCTTCTGTTGTTGGTGTGTCCCCCATACACACAAACATATCCTTTGTCATCTTTTCCTTTGGGTCAATTTGTGGCACCTCCTCCACTGATTTCTTCCTGCGGATCTTGGTCTTTGGCTTGTAGTCCACTGACATAAGGACAAACTGCCCCTTGTCCCCTTGGACTTTGGTCTGGGAGATGAGCTTTCCAAGTCTGTATTCCATGTAGAACTCACTCTCCAGAAAGGCTGGCAGTCTCTCCTCCTTAATCCAGTGTATCCCCTGCTCTTTGTTGAGGGTCTGAAAAGTACAGAGACAACAACTTAGCTGCAGACTTATCAAAAGATCCAAATAAAGTGTTTAAGGTAAACAATTTTACTATGAGACATCCTGATATCTCTTATCCAATTCCATGAAAAGATTAAGTAAAACTGAATAAACTACAAATAAAACTTTTATTACATTTAAGTCTCTTCTTTTCTGTTGAAATTTACCAAAGTGCTGTGTTTTGGTCTAGCAAAGTTCTGAATCATCAGTATCTTAACAAGACCAATGATCAGACACCACTACAAAAGTTTATGTTGTCACTTAAATTTGATGTACCGCTATATGTGCATAAACTCGTAAGTCATAATATACACTTTGGCAAGTCACCACTGTTTACACCCATCACATAATCATGGCAAAATTCTAACTGAGTAAATAAAACAGTTTGATTTACAGCTAAGCAATATTATGTGCAAACCTCTTTAAACTAAACCTCTTACATTAAGGTGGCTCTATAAAAACCTTCCACCTTAAAGCTAATTATATAGATCGAACCAGACTTACGGTAACAGTGAAGCTGGTGTTGATCTCCAGGTTTTCAGGTTCGTCTGGTTCCTCAATGGGGATAAGGGGGATATTTGAGAAGCTGTGCTGTTTGACGACATTGTAGATTTTGGGGGTCCTTTTCTGAGATCGGATGGCAGCTTTGATCTGTTTGGCTAACTCTTTCTTGGCATCTGTCACCACCTCAAATCCCCCTGTGTCTTTGTTGAAGCAAAGAGGGGCAGGGAATGTCTTTTAAAACATAAGAAACCAATTAAACATACTGTAATTTCAACAGAGTTGACAAGACAGATAAAGCATCCGAATCATGTCTATTTAATGTTGAAAATGTACTTTGTTTTACTAATCTGTTTCATTTAACAGTTTTATGCATGTAAGTCTAAGATGGAAAAGAAGGGAGGAGGGGTATCAGGGGAGGCAATGTATAGTCAATTTCAAAGAATTGGAATCTAAACTCAATCTGTCCAAGTCTGTACTGGCTTGCATTATAATTTTTGATAAAAACTCTTTGATGCCAATGCTTGAGATGTCTTTTGTCTTGGTCCTCAGTCAATTTCCTTGAAAGAGTTACCATAAAAGGTGATATTCTCTAAGTTGCCAATACAAATTAAAACATTGTATTAGTTTTGCTTGATTTATGGATGAAGAACCAAGACTCAAGTTAAAATAAATTTCCCTCACAATCGAATTATAAGTCTCCAGTCATGGCAACACTCAATTTTGTTCTTCGTTACATCTGTCAAACATCATAATTATTTCAATTAACTCACAAAAGGGCAAACTTGCATCGGGAGTTTTTCTTGGCATCACAGCTTCCATTGCCAAGAGCAAACAGTTACACTTAATGCTTAATAAAGATAATTTTGGGAAAATTAAAAACCTGAAGCATAAAATCAATATTGTTCAATAGAATTCATTTAGAAGTTTCAACAAAGGTGTCCCGTAAATTATGGCAGCTAAATACACTGTTCGCTGTCCCTCTATTCAATCTATTGACCCAGTGTTAAAAGGAGAGGGGTGAGGGATATTTTTACAAACATAAATGTCTTTTTGCATGATGAATTTATATTTGAGATTTCCTTTGATTTTTAGAAGCATTTATGGATGGGGGTTTATGAGCAGTTGTTATAGCCATATATATATGTCCCCTCTGATATTTTCTGAATTGATTTCGAGATTGAGAATTTTATGTTGCATATTCAAGATGAAATTTATGAGTACTTTTTGACAAATTAGTAGTATGGTTTTTCGTTAATTATTTTTCAAGGGAATTTCAAAGATCTAGTCATTTGAAGTTGGCATATTGCTTAATACCATATAATCCTATTAAATCTACTTAACAGAAATAACGAGTGCATTGATTGCTAGTCTTTGAAAAACATACTAGATTAATTATATTAGGACTAATTAGCTGTCACCTTTTTCAGTTTTAACCTGTCTGGAATAATTGGATACAAGTTTCACACCTTAATATTGAGGTAAATACATTTGCCATTTCAGAGTACTTGATACACTCCTCCAAGTTTTAAATCAACGTTCAGTGCCATGAAATAATTTTCATCTACCTGGTACTTTTTCTCAATAGTTTTCATGTATTCTCTGAATAACGATTTGTCTTTAAGTGTTCAATGCATATTTCAGAATATCAAAATCAAAAATTCATAAACACAGTGTTTGAAATAAAACACTTTATGTTGGGAAGGAATTATTTTTTGGTCAAAATATACTCCAACCATTTACCGTTCAATCTTTTTTTTCCCCCAAAATACTCAACCGAGGTGTGTCCTACCCTAAAATTTTGACTTAAAGGTTTCCTTTTAATTTCCTAACAATGTTCTGATTACAACTATAAGCTGTTAGTTATATTGACACCTCATAAAATGCTTTGTTTAGTAGGAAAGTTAAATACTTAGTGCTTCTTCTGAATTGTGTGAAGTTTATTCTACTTCAGGGATGAATGAGTTTTTGATTGTCTTTGTTAAATACTTACAGGTAATGACAGATAGGCATTGAAATAGTCTACAAACAAATCATCCGTAGCCAGAAAGTCCTCCTGAAATAAAAATATATAGTGATTAATACTAAAATAGTCTATAAACAAAACATTCATAACCTGAAATTCCCTCTTTAAATTTTATCTTATAAAATTTTAATAAAATAAAAAAAAAAAAAAATATTTATTAACTGTATTTGTTTACTTTTTATTTACACCATCTTTTCCAAGTATTTATTCTGGGCTGTCATTGCCAAATTTAAGGGTATTTGGAAAATATGTATTGCCTTTCTTCAAAAACATAGTCAAATAAACCATAATATCTGAAACTCTGAGAGACTATAAAAAACAGAGAGAAATCTGGGTGTTCTAGATAATTCAGACTCAAAGTGTTGTTGGATCCACAGACTCACTTTGAAATATTCCTTGTATTCAACATACCAGTGTTTGAGATATCCAAGTTCAACTGTACTTGTACTCTATTATACTCTTTTGATGATTGTAAGTTTTTTTTTTCTATATCAACTATAGTAATAAATGTAATCCTCCAAGAACTTGAGGACTAAAGATGGATTTATAGTATGTATAGAAATTTCACAATCTTTATGCTTACAGATAAAACTAAAATGGCTTGTTGAAATGAGTTTCAAAGAGTTTGGAGGGCATATAGTCAAAGGCAATGAATATAACTGTAAGGTAGAAAGGACAGATGAGAAAGCACATAATTCTAAAAGATACTAAAGTTTTATTTTCTGAACTTTATCATCCATGCTGAAGTTTTATTCAATAAAGATAAAGTACCACAAGTGACATTTGAAGAGAGGAAAGCACATGGCAGTGTCATTGCAAACGGGTCTAAAAGCAGGTGTGGGATTACGTCTGCATGACAAAATCTTTGATTTCCTAGGAGATTCCAAGAGCATGTCACAAGAGTCAAATAGAGGGATTTGATCCGATCGCACTAGCTACCTTTAGTCAAACACCCAACTGGCAGTAAATCTCGAATAGGTTCTTAACTACATATATCTTTGTAAACAATGTTGACGATTTCAAACATTTGTCAAATGGAGTGGTCTGTGATCTCGTAGACTAATGTAAAATACATTTACAGAAGTCGGGGGAATGTGCACGCATTAAACAAGGATCGTGTTGGGGCACCTTTCTTGAATAAATTTAAAAGTGAATTTTTAAATGTGTCATTAAAGTTTCCATTAAATTTTACTGTTATACTGGGGGAAAAAAATATAAAGCAAACTTAGGCCAAGATTTTATTCACTCACTGGTAGTTTTAATCAAAATAATATTTACATTTTAAAACCAAATAATTTAATTTTGAAAAATAAAAAAAAAAATAATTAAATGTAATACATGTATACCACCTGTTTAGTTAATTTTATTTATATATGCAACTTGATACACTCTACATTATTAATTGCAGATCTACAATTAGTAAATTGTAGGTTTACCATATTTATGTACCCTAAATTAGTTAAATGTATCAAAAAATTAGTTATCAAATCAAATAAAGCATTGATTTTCAGATTGATAGAAACACAATATTTACAATGGTTCCTAAGACTGACATATAAACTTTAAAAGTTTTCTACCACTTACCAGGGTTTTAAAGACAACAGTTATAACTGCCTCCATTTCCACTAAGTCCAAAGTTTACAAAAATGTCAAAAGTGAAAATGTCCCATATCAACTTAGATCAATAATCTTCTATCATATTTCATTGCAAGTTTAAAAATTTTCACAGGCACATGGTTGCCAATGCCCGGTTAGCTAGATCCTTGTGTTGACAAATCGAATGGTCTTGGTACATTTAGTAAAAGTCCCATAATTCCCCACAAAAGCCTCGTTACTTCTGCCAATAAGTAATTGTAATAAATCCACCAGCCAAATATCCCACCTTTAAATGGTAGGATTATCAAATGTAAACTATTTGGATTTTACTTTAAAGTCTATTTGATTAAAGCCATTTGAATAGGAAGAATAAAAATTTGAACTTGACGTTGGCTTTTTTTTTTAACTTGTGCAATATGATTAAAGAAATTTAAATCCGCTGCATCTGCTTTACTTTGAAATAGGTAAGTAATAATTAACATGTGGTAGACCTGTGGATTAAATAAAACTTTGGCTTTTGATCAATATTGCATGTTTACTTAACCAATCTGCAATAGTTCATGTACTTTACTACAACCCACAGTCCAAGTTATTTTGTGATATGAGTTTTTAATGCCGTGGGATAATAAAGCTAGTAAATTATGCATCGCACACCAATTATTTAGGATTTTGTTTTTTTTATCTTATCAAATAAATCATTTAAGCTACTTCACTAAGTACCATTGTCATTATTATAGCAATGAAGTTGCATGACCTTAGCAAGTTGACCTTGCAGACAGACAGAATCTTCCTTTCTCGATTTACACAATTTTACCCCAGAAAAACTGATAGCACATTGTGCACTGGTAATCAATGTTTGATATAAAATGCAAACTGCATAGGTTTTTTTTACCTAAAATGTTTAGGTATTTAATATGATACTACTTTAAAATATGTTTTCAAACCCCCCAAAAAACAATTAGCATAAATGGAATGGCTACAACGAGTTAGTAAATCACTAAGTTTATCTTCTATACTTCATAGAAATACCAATAAAAACCTGTTTGTGTAGACAATAAAGATAACGCCATCATTAAATTCCTAAAGTTGCTTATTAGCAGGCAGAACATTGGATACGATAAAATTTGACTTTTGGTTATCGACCATATAAATCCCTCAGACAAAGAAACACTTTGTGCAATGATCAGAAATATTACATCACTGGTGGCTATTAAACCCAATTCAAAGCATAGTGTTAAACAAAACCATGTAACTGTACGCAGAAATATACTAAACTTGAACTCAAAAGAAAAATAACTTGGATAACTTTTAATATACAATGGAAGTTCAAAACGATAGTTTGAGACATATGCAAGAGTGTAACATTATAGAAAACATTCTGATGAACACAACAGATTCATTTTAACCATGTCCAGTAAAAAAAAAAAAAAAAATTGTAAAAATCATAATACTACGTCCTTCACAAGAAATCTGCATGCAATAATTTGCAGTGACTAACACTGAAAATTGCAGCAACAGCCCTTGGCAAAAGATTGATGGGTAACATTGCTATCCTGGGTCACTTTCTAACAATGCAAATGTACTGAAATCATCATTAAGACAAAATTTACATTGTGCATAGTGTACTATATAACATATGGAATCAAAGATGCTAAATTTGAAATTTAATCAAAATTGGTCCAGCAGTGTTAGAGAAGGAGCCAGACTGTTCAGAAGTTGATTGATGGAAATAAGTAACAGGAATTTGAAGTAACACAGGTAATTTAGAAAAAAAGCTCACCCTTGATAAATGTCCATTTAATTTAATATTTGAATGAAGTCCAGAAAAATTCCTACTTATTATTAATAATACAATCAACAACAAAATAAACTTGCTCTTGAAAGACAGTACAAAAATAATGTTCCTTCATTTTAATGAAGTACAGAACTTGTAAGCAAATTCAAAGAATTGTGGTCCCCCGCTTTCGGTGTCTTAGTGGGTGAGATGCCATTATTTATAACATATTATGTCAAATATGAATGCCCTATCATATTTCATTCAAAAGTAATCACCAAAGTATTTTTTTTTTTTTTGGAAATTAGGTCAAACATGAGGGTCAAGGTCAAGGGGTCAAAAATCATAGAATGCTCGGAAACATTTTGTCACAGGTAATGTACATGTCAAATAGGAAAGCCCTATCTCTTCTCAATCAAAAGTTATAAGGAAAAATAACATTTTTGAGAGTAGGTCAAACTTTTAGGTCAAGGTCATACTGAGTGTTTTTTTTATTTCTTACCAATTTAATTAAGGTCTGATGACACCTTCCTTGAATATTTGTATAATTATCACTATCTTGTGATTTCTAAAGTGTTTTCAAAATGTCTTAAAAATAAATACACCAAAAATTGTGATACATGTATTAACAATTCAAGAGTTTTCCAATAGGATTATATAAGAAACACCATCCTTTGGTATCTTACACAAATGCCTAGTACGGTACCTCAATTTTTTGTGAGGAAACTTGTTAAAGAAGTGACACTTCAATGACAAATTCTTGGGAAAAGTTATGTATCATGAAGGAAAGTGTCATCTGACCTTAGAATTAGGGTCCCATATATCCTTTTGAATACAGAAGACATGCACACAGCTTAGATAAAGTTTATACAATTTTTTTAACCAAGTCATCATCAAGAAGTCAATTCATATATCCTTTCACTAACTCAAAAGTTTTGACTCAAAAAAAAAAAAAAAAAACCTTTCTGCTGTACATTTGATGATTAGAAAACTAACACAAATCTTAAAATTAATAAACACCTCTGGTGAAAGAAACATCAAAAAACAAAGGTTATCAGTATATATACTTCTATAACAAATTTGTCAACACTTTTTTAATCTCCTATTCCTACAAACAATTAAAGTCCAAGAGAAGGAGACACTTTTGAATTCCAAATATGGTTGCCAGGTTATGCTCCTCTCTCTCTCCCCTCATCCAAATAAATTTACTGTGAACCACGAGAATATATATATTTACTTACAAGAGGCAGTTGGTGATATATCACAAGAACTTCACACGTCATCTCGGGCCACCAACAAACATACTTGACAACTTATTTAGTTACCTTGAAGTCATAGTCACCACTCCTTAGGTCTTTTAGGGCAGTTCCATCTACATGCTTCTCAAAGAAATTATGGCCCAGCATTGATACAAAATTTGGCACCACGTTCCGACAAATAAATGATCTTGTGTGACCAGCCGACAGATTCGTATTGTCAGGTCAACAAAATCCTGACCCCTTGTTAAATTCAAACGATAATCATCTAATAATCTGAGAATCAAGATGCATGATCGACTCCAACAATAGTTACTGGAAGGAGGAACGCTAAACAAAGCACCTAACATTTAATCCAATCATAGTAATCTTTTGTTTGCATATTGGATTCTTTAATGCAACTAAAATAAAAATCTAATTTAAAACCTTGAAAGACAACAGTGTAATAAGCCGAAAAAAGCCAGCGCAAAGGTGTAATGGAGATTAATGGCTTATTAACTGTACCTGCTGACCATTACACATTTTAATCATTTATACTACACATGCACACGCTTGTGCATGAAGGACCCAAATTCTTTATATCTTGGCTTTGTATGACAGCAATGGAACAGAAAATCTTTGAGGATGGTGAGAAAATCAATCAAGAAATTGGATTATCAAAGAGGAGTCAGAGGGATTCTGTGAGGGAAAAGAATTTTGCAGTGAAAATTCAGGGAAGAATATGGTTAGGACATTCAACCAAATGGTTCAATACATTAATAGGGAATGGGTGATAAAAGGGGGAATCACTTTGCATGTACATATTTGTTAATTAAAAGGACAAGTGAAAGGACTTCAAAGAATGCTTACAGGATCTGAATGAAAACTGGGATGGGAGATAATGCACTCAGTTATGTCTCCTCAATGTGCTCACAAACATCTCACAGAATTTTTTTTATTTTTTTTTTTTATTAATTTTGTTGGGTGAATGTGTTGGAGTAGTTCTGGAACATCTCTGTCTAACTTACCACATTATTTGCATGCTTTTTCTAAACAGATATAAGTAAATGTGTACATAAAACACTAGCTTTTACAAGATATATTTACAGAAATGTGCTCATCCTCTTTCACATCTCTCAATTAATGGTACATTTTGCATCCTCCTAAAATGTCTAATAAAATCTTCAAACAGTAGAAAAATTCCATATTGAACCATGAACTGCACATGAACCATGTATTTAACCTTTAAATATTCTAGAGGACTAAAGGAGTTACGACTCTTTATAAAAGACAAAGATCTGCACTCCCTCAGATTTTGTAAGAGTTATTCCCCTTGACATGAATATAAATCACCAACACTTACCACATCTTCATATTCCACATCCTCAGGATCTGAAAATATAAAAATAAGGTTCTCACTAAGTAATTTACAATCTAAATACAAGCACTGACAAAATTCATTTGTACTGACTATATTATACAATTAATTAGAACTGTCCAAAATGGACAAATACCCCCGCTGGGTTTTTCAGAGAAGGTGCCAAGTCACTAATACTAGTATTTGATAGATCTAAAAGGTGTTCACAATTTGTTTAAACATTTAGAGTGAAAATTTACAGGTAAATGCTCATTATATTTTCTTAATGAATGAAACTAAGGCACAGCCTAATAAAACATCAATACTAATAATAACATTATTTTTTATTTATACATTAAAAAATAAATAAAATTTTTTCAAGTATTTCTCTCCTGGAAAGTTTGAATGCATTGTTTATCCATTTTTTCTACAGTGACTATAGGTCAAGATCATGACACACACTCAGGTCATAAGCAATCTTTGTGTGAAATGAAAACTCCCAACCTCCCAACATTATTCTCCATAAGAACGATATGGACCGGACACGAATTATGAAATTTTTCTGTCAGTGACCTTGAACTTGTCCAAATAACCTTGGGTCAAGATTATAACACACCCTCAGGTCATAAGCAGTCTTTGTGCAAAATGGGAACTCACCAAGTTCATCCGTAAGAAAGATATGGATGGACACAAATTATGAACTTTTTCTTTCAGTGACCTTGAACTTGCCCAAATGACCTTTGGTCAAGGTTACAACACACCCTCAGGTCATAACCAGTCTTTGTGTAAATCAGAAACTCACCAAGTTTATCCATAAGAAAGATATGGACCAGACATGAATTATGAACTTTTTCTTTAAGTGACCTTGAACTTTCACAAATGAACTTAGGTCAAGGTCATGACACACCCTCAGGTCACGAAAAATCTTTGTGTGAAGTAGTAGATTTTTATGTTCCTTCATAAGAAAGAAA